AAAAAAAAAAAAAAAATCTTTCCCTTAAGTTTTCCTTCTTTCATGCATCTTTGTAATGATAAAAATAGCATGATAGAAGCTTTAAAGGAGAATTTTTCCTTTCTTTCTAATCTGCGTCCTTCTGTGATCTACCTCTCTTCCAGTCTTCTGTCTTCTGCCCTCTGAGATCAGGAAACAGGAATTATGTTCAGGGAGGTGGGTGCAGGGAGCTAGAACCAACGTGAAGCATAGATTTAGAAGGATGGGTGAAGAGTTCCACTGGATCCTAATCAGGGCTCTGCAGCAGAGAAACAGAAATAGAAGGACAGGTTGTCAATGATTCTGCAGCATCAATATACTGGAGGAAAAGGAGAAAGAAAAAGGGGAAACGTAAGGAAACATTTTATCAGAAAGCAGAAGAACAAGTGCCTGTCTAAGATTGCATTGCATGGTTCCAGCTTGCATGGCCATTTTTACAGTATTGCATGTCTGTACAAAGTGAGGACTGTCTGCATATGCGTTTATAAATTATAAATACCTACTTGTTTCTGTGTAAGCAGAGAAGTGTAAGTACAGGAAACTGAGTAGGCCGAACAGGTCCAGAAAAGTAGAAACTGCTCTAATAACAGGAGGTAGAAAGACCGCTTAACAGTGTGCTTCACCACGAAAAAATCAACTATCATGAGGAGGAAGCTAACTTCACAGACTTGATTCTCATTTCTTAGGAAATGAAATCTCCAGACAAGCCTACTAATTACAGGAAGAAAAGGCATATAAAACATTAAAAATATTTTGATGACAGAAAAATTTAAACATAACACAGAAATGGGAGAATAGTGATCTTCCATCATGCAACCAAAAACAATACCAAACTCAGTGCTGTTGAGTCAGATCCGACTTATAAATACCCCTCCTTGGGTTTCCTCTCCTTGGGTTTCTGAGGCCATATCACTTCGGAATTAAGATTGCCCAACCTTCCTTCCGGAGAGTGGCTGGTGGGTTTGAACCACCAGCCTTCTGTTAACCAGTCAGATGCCTCAGGCATTACGCCACCAAAGGTCCTCCCATGATGCAGCTTAAACAATTATCAATATTTTGCCAGTATTGCTCATCTATTTTCCTTTCCTCCATTTCAATGCAGTGGTTAAAGAAATTGGCTGCTAACCAAAAGGTTGGTGGTTCAAACACACTAGCCACTCCACAAGAGAAAGATGAGGCAGTCTGTGTCCATAAAGATTTACGTTTTTGTTTTTTTTTTTAAAATACAAACTCACTGCCTTCCAGTTGAACACGACTCATAGCGACTCCTCCTTGGGTTTCCGAGGCAGTATCACTACCGAAGTAGATTGTCCAACCTTTCTTCTGAGGAGTGGCTGGTGGGTTTGAACCACAAACCCTCTGGTTAGCAGTCAAATGCCTTAGGCACTATGCTGCCAGAGGTTTAGAAACCCTATTTAAGGGAAAGATTTTATCAGAAAGAGGAAGAACAAAGTTCTACTCTGTCCTATAGGTTCACTATGAGTCAGAATGGACTAGATAGCTGTTTTTTTTTTTTTTTTTTTAAAGAAAACAAATCCCAGACACTGTATTATTTTACCAATAAATGCTTCAATGTGCACCTCTAACTGGAAATGGCATTTTTTGTGTCAACAAGATTAGCAATTCTTGAATATCATCAAATACCTATTCTGATTTCCCAAATTGTCTCAGAAATATCTTTTTACATAGGCTCTATTAGAATCAAAATCCAAACAGGGTAAATATATATTAAAAAATCTAGAATGTAAATAGTATCTAGTTCTTCCTGTTTATTGGTGACTCCCCTCCCCAGAGGCACCCATTCCTCTCATTTTCTCTTGTTTCTTTTGGAGTTGGCCTGTGTATCTCATTTATGTCTAATGTTTATTATTTCAATTATTTATTTGTTTTAGATGACTACAGAATTGATGGTAAAAGCATGTAGCTTTTATACGGGAAATTTAGTAAAGATGTACTTTAGGTAAGAGTATGTTTTATGTATACCATTTCTTTCTTTGCATTCTTATTCTTGATATTCTCCATACAAAGAGACACTTTGGGCCAGTTGTATTTATTTTATCTATTTAATCATATTTCTATCCTTTTGCATTGTATATTTATTTTATATTTAATTAGCTTTTCCTTAGTTAAAATATGTTCATCTTGCCTTTTTTTAAAAAAATAAAATTTTAAATCTGAAAATATAGGTCTATATAATCCCTTATCTGAAACTTTTGAAGCCAGATATGTTTTGGAATTTGGATTTCTTTCTTTTTTATTTTAGAAAGGCAATTGTATATTGTATAACATCCTCACCTGTGAGTGGGGCAACATGTTGAGATCTAACCTACTAGATCATGTTAGTGTTTCTGCAGTGAAGTATTCTCACTGAGGGAAACAAAGAAAGACTATGAACAGCCAGGTGTCAGTTCCAGAGAGGCTTTGCTGAAAAAGTAGTTAAATCAATTCTAGTTTTCCTTCTAAACAGGTTATGAAAAAAACTTTTAGGTTTGAGAGCTTTCTAGAACTTAGAAATTTAGGAAATGGAAGTGTAACCTCAAAGGTGACTCAAGGATTGGCTAGAAATAAAATCAGAAAAATAAAATTTAGAAAGTAGATGAATTGCTTAAAAGAAACTTAATGTTACAAAATTGTCATAGTATGCAAAAAAATTTTGGTACATGAACTAGGGCTTGGACATGTTTCGTTACTATTACGTTTGGATAATTTATTTAGAACAGCAAAGAATCCCCCTCACCCAATTTAAAACATGGACAAATAAATATAATTCACTGAAAATGAATGAGAATTTCTAAAATTCATTGAAAATGATTGGAATTTCTAACAATTTTTAAGATGAAAAAAGTGCTGAAAAGAACATAAATATACCACTAATAACTCCTTTCTTCGACCCTTGATGGACATTTGGGTGGTTTACATTTTTTTGCTATTGCAGACAACGTTGCTATGAACACTGCCTTGATTTCTCCAGGGTGCAGATCCATGAATGGAATTGCTGGGTGGTAGATATGTGCAGCTTCAGTTTCACTAAACTGTGCCAAGTTGTTTTCTTGACAGTGCTCTTGTTGCTCCACATTCTCAGGAGTAATGTATCTTGTCAGATCTTTAAATTTTTGTCACTTTGGTGGGAGTTTAATGTATCTCTTTGTGATTTTAATTTACATTTCTGATAGCTAATCACCTTGAGTAGTTTATATGGTTTTTATAAGGCTTTTTGGATTTTATCTTTTGTGAAAAACTTGTTCAAGCCTTTTGCCCAGTTCCTTTTTATTGGGTTGTCTGTATTTCTCTTATCAATTTATGAAAGTTTTTTATATGCTTTA